TACTAGTGATTTGTTAGAAATTAAGAATATCTATTTAAAAATATAACAGAATTTTGTTGTGTTAATTTACTATGCCAAAGTTTGGATAACCAGTTGGAAAATGGAAAATGAAATTCTATGTATATTTGTATATTGCTTGAGACCACAAAATGGATAGTTTACTTAAAATAGTTAATGTTTAAATGTTTTTTATCTTATTTGTGTAATCACTAAATGATACAAGTATGCTTACTAAGGTATACTAATGAGTGATTATATTTTATTTCACTTTAATTCATAGAATTTCAAGAAGTGTCGATTTTTTTCTGTTGTGTCAACAACTGCTCTCCAAATGAATGTGTTATCATAAATGTTGCCTATTATTCTTTTTAATTTCACTGAAAACAACTCAATAGTTTCTGTGAATGATGGTATGTTTGTTTAGTTTTAGCTTTGCTTTACACATTATAAAGTTTTTATTTCCCCAGTGTTTGTTTTGTGTTTTGTTGGTATGAATGACTGGATTTTGCTTCTTTTTCTTTTTTAGCAAGCATGGTAATATATTCTTGCATACACCTTGGAAAAGAGAGCACCCTAAATATGATGTAAAATCAATACTGTAAATCATTTTCTCTCTTTCCCATTAACTCAAATATGTGCATTGTTGGAAATGTGTGCTGTAGTGGCATAGCCTTGTGGTCTAATTAGCTGCCTGCCTGTAATCAGGACTATATCAACTGTTGTCATTCTAAATGTTTCCTTTCTTTTTTTCAAACACATTTGCCTGATTGACCTTTTTTTTTTTCTCTGTCTTTCTATGGGGCTGCTCCAGGAGTCATGGCTAATCATCTTATAAGCAATGCTCTGCTTCGTCCGCATGGTACTAACAATCCCTATAATACATTGCTTGGGGAACCGGCGGTCTGTAACAACCCTTCTGTCAGCATGTACAACACACAAGGTGTGCTGGAATTTATCTTAATTTTTTTTTAAAGTGAGAGTCCCATTTTATGTAGCTTTTATGGGCACATTCTATTTTCCTTTCTCCTTCCTTTTCTTTGTTTTGGAAGCAGACACACAGACTCCTTTCACATTCCACCCCCTTGGTGCTTTTATTTTCCATTTTCCTTAGGTTTTTTCCTTAGAAAACAGTAGATTCCTTCTGATCAATGAATCCTTGATCCATCAACATGTGTTTGTTTTATGTATTGTTACACAATGTATTGTGGATTGTCAGTATTTTTCTTGTTCATTCCCTACTCTATTAAATACCTGTGTATTTATTTTTGAGAAATGAGACATTTGTGTAAGGTAAGTAAGATGAAGGAAGACTTGATTCAGTAACTATGATGTTTCAAGATGGAGAAAAAAATCTTGGTTGCATCACAGAATTCATTCTGGGCACAAAGCTTTTGTATTGATGAAAGCATTAGATCAACTTTAGAGAAAATTACATTGAACTAGCCATTGGCAGACAAGATCAGTGAAGCCACATTAGTTGCTTACGATTCTATATTAGCTCTGCCATCCCCTATGTGAGCCAAGAAGAACAGTCACAATATTGCTTTTTCTGCAGTGGCTGCATGTGATATACAAGGCTTTGAAAGATAGTTCTTAGGTATATCCTTCAACTTGAAAAATGGTACCAAAAGTTAACTTTGTCTCAGACATATAAGCACAGAACTTCTTAGAATTACTAACACACGGGCTGGGAAGGTGGCTCAGTGGTAGAGCGCTTGTCTTGCATGTTCGAGGCCCTGGGTTCGATTCCTCAGCACCACATAAGCAAAAAAAGAAAAAAGCCGGAAGTGGCGCTGTGGCTCAAGTGTTAGAGTGCTAGCCTTGAGCTGAAGAGCTGAGGGGCAGCGCCCAGGCCCAGAGTTCAGGCCCCACGACCGGACCCAAAAAAAAAAAAAAAAAAAGAATTACTAACACACACACACACACACACACACAAAATGTATGCACACACGCATAAAAAACACACAGTGGAGATATTGCTCATATTAGGATCTCATATATTCTTCTGTTAAAATACTCCATTCCTCTCCACCCATTGGCTGAAATGTCAGGTTTGTCTTTAGAGCAGAGAAGAGCAAAGCATAACGCATTCTTCTCTTGTCTCTCAGAAATCTGGTAAGTACCTGAAACTAGACCATTTGTTTTCAGCTGGTCTTCTTCCATTGTCCTCAAAACACACAAGGACTAGTAGGAGACATTGTTTGGTTCCTTATACATAGCCTCTCTGTAGTGCCTCTCCTTAAGCAAAGTCCCTTTTTAATGTATTTTATAAGTCATTGTTCACTACATGATGTTTGAATGACCTGAAATGCTCCTTTTTCTTTTTTTTCTTTGTCTTGCTTTGTTTTACTTTACTTTCCATAGGCCAGATGACTACTGTGTCATTTGAAATATTTTAAAGTGTAATTCTACATTAGAAAATGTTAAGTGTTAAATGAAGATATGCAACCATATCTACAAATTAAATGAACAATATATTATTCAACTTACTTAGAAGAGTTGGCAGTTGTTTATAAACAAGTAAATAAATTTGGATCACATTTTTTTTACTTTTTTGTTTTCCTTTCTCAAATACTATTAGCAAATTTGTAGAGGAGGAAAAAGAAACAGATATCAATTAGTATATTTTTCTCAATCTTTATTTTTACTTGAGTCTCAAAATAAGGAACACTTTTAAAGCAAATTAGCTAGATGTGGTTGGCTGAAGCAGGAAGACTGAAATTTCTAGGCTATTTAACAAGACAAAAAATTAAGAAAGATATAAGTTAAATTTTTCAAAATGCAAAAAATCTGAATACTGAACAGATACAATGTTTTATTACTATGGAATTCATTACTTATTATTTGTATTAAAATTATCAACAAATATACAAAGGCTTTGACTGGATGTATTTGTCTTTCACATCACTAAATTTAATGTGTTCTACTGAATTTTATTGAAAATAAAAGTAAATAATTTTGCTTGTTTTTTTACAGTCCAAATGGAAAGATTTGGTTATGTTGTTATTTTTATTACCTTTAAAGATGCTAAGACTTATGACAGTGCTTAAAATAATTCATTTACCACTAACCAAAAGTAAATCTTGATGACTGCCACACTATTAACCCTATACTTTTCAGATGATTTTTATTTATATTCTTACTGCCAAGGTGAAATCATATATGAAATATAAATGAATGGGTTTACGTTGAACTCCCTGTGAGTCTTTCAGTTCAGTTGTACCAGTTCAAAATCCATCCTTGTTTATTATACCTTCATTCAAGACATGTAAAGATATATTTATTGTGTTATTGAAGTCTGTAGAGTTAACAATAAACACAAATAATGTTTGTCATATTGACTTCAGCTGTGGAAATGTTTTTAAACTATATGCATAGTATTTTCAGACCATTATCTTCTTGTCAGTAGTAAAAATTTATTTTTGTAAGGATAAGTCTTATTATAGAAAATCCTGTCAACATAAAATAAAGAGGAATTCATGATTTTGGTAAGATAAAATTATATTTCAAAGTAATTTATTAAATTCTGAAAGTTAAAAAAAGACATATCCATAGGATGAGATACTATGTTTTTGTTCGTAAGAAAACAAGGCTATATTATAAGGTCTATAAATTAATATTCAATTCTGGCTTTCAAAGCTATTGGCAGACATGAAGAGGAGAGTGGAACAGATTTGAGAGATGTCTGGATGATATTCTTTCAGATCCTAGCTCTGGTGTATTAGCTGGGTGGCATTACATCAACATAGCCACTGATCGCTATAGTTTCCTTGTCTCTGAAAAGTTGGGACTAAATGTCAATAATTTCTCATATTTAACAAATGAGCCATTAATAATCCTGCAATCAGTTCTCATAAAAAACTTAGCTGTTTATTTCAAATCTTTATTTAAAACTACTTTGAAACAGTAAAAGAGATTTCCTGTGCATTCTAAAATGTCATTCTGTTTGCTTAGAAGCAAACCAACCTTCAAAGTATTAAAAGCTGTCTCTTCATACAGTGAATATCATCAAGCTATGTTATATAAATATATAAAAATGTAGCAACAAGGCTTTCTATTTTGCACAGTTAACAAACACTAATAGGAATTAATCACAAGGTACAAGTTGAACCCTGGAAATAATCTGGCTTAGTGATTTCATTCCTTTTTATTTTGTGATATTTTAACTTCCTTGCAAACCAAATGAGCCAAAACAAATCGTCTGATATGATTAGCTTGATTATTTTTCCTAAAAAAAAAAGTATGGCTATGATTTTTTTAAAGCAACCACTCATAATGTGTGATTGCTTATAATTGTATAATAATCTAAAGGAAAACCTGATGTTGAAGATGCTCTATATTTCCCACATGTATTTTCTTACTACAAAATAATAAGTGGATTTAACTTTTATTCCCTCTCATAGTTAAACAACTTCTGAATAAGAACTCCAGAAATGACAATACTGATCTATTTTCATTTGCTAATGAAACCACATTTATATAGGTACAATGGGGAAAATAACAATTGTCTAGAGAGAGAAAAGAAATATGAATGAAAAAGAATACCATTTTAATGCCTTCAACTCTGTTTTTTATCCTCTCTATCCAAGTTAAAGACTTTGCTTATAAGTTCAGTAATGAATTGTAAGATTGTATGGCATACCTTACAAGCAGGTGTATTCTCATATTGACATATATGATATGTGGAATGGTCATAATCTACCCTCTGTTTATACTATAAGTGTGGCTCTAATGAAAATGACAAACTGTAGAAATGTTTATTAAAGACTCATTATATGGGCATGTGTTAAAGGAGGGTTTCTTATTTTCTGATTAACATTTCAGTAATTTAAATTCTGATAAACCATGTAACACAGACTCATGAATTTTGGGGCAGTGGAAATGATTTCCTTTGACTCTTTTTTCTGCATATCATCAATTTGCTTTTGACTCATGTTTCCTCTACTGTCACTGTAAGCTTACTTGTTGTTTTCTTTCCTTTTCTTCATGCTGTCGTTTAGAGCCCTACAGAGAGACAAGTATGGGAGTAAAGCTAAACATTGCATATCAAATGTAATTTTTTTTAGTTCACTTTTATTGCATCACATATAGATGATGTAGTTATTAAAAACAGTTCATCTCACAATATAAGGACTGAAGAGCCTATGAATCTTGACTGATATATAAATATATATATATAAATATATGCTAATACAGATTAGACGCTTTTGTTGTCTGATTCTTTTATCCTGTCACATAATCAATGTAGTTAAGTCTCATGTAATGTTTGTGTGAGTTAAATTGTTTTTAAATTAAGCATTTTTTGCTAAGTAATTCATAAACTTTTACTTTTTATTGATACATTCCATCATAAAAACATGTCTCATTGCTGCATCTCCACCTTACTTTGCTCTGGCTGTGTTCATTCTCTGTGTTATGCATTGACAACAGAAATAAAGAACATGTTTCAATGCATCATAACCATTAAGCTCATCCTACCAGTCACTGCAAGAGCAGTCACCCATCACATGCAACACTTTATTAGGCATTTACTTTTTTTCCCTTGACATTGTGGATTTGTGTACAAGATATTTTATGACATGAAAATAAGTCCCTTCAACCTATGTCTGTGATGGTTGCTTATTAATGCCTTTTATGCATTATTGCTTTTTGAAGATTGAGTTACTTGAACACAAGGTATGCAAAAGTCTATATAAAAATTCAAACACATTCAATACTTTATAGAAACCAGTATTTAACTAGTTGACTTCTCGTAAAAATAATTGCATCACAGATATAGAATGAAAGCTCTATTTTCACAAATTAGTAGCATATTGAGAAGTTTTAGAGAATTCGTCAATCAATTTTTTAGGAAAGAAAGACCCTTCCTGATTGGTTAAATGTTTCTGTATTTTTTTCTTTTGTGGTTGCATTTGAAGTGATTTATGGAACTATTACATATTTTTAAATTTCTTTATTCAAGGGGATGCAAAAGCCTTGAAGAAGTATATGGTCAAATTTATTTCACTATAACGGTTCCTCATCAGAATAAAATGTTTATCTTTTAAATTCAAAATTCAGTATGTACCAAGTCATCACATTATACTGCCATTATGATTTTAGGAATCAAATCCCTGTGTTTTTACACATTTACACGTAGTATATCTAGTGACTCGACACAATGAATAATGGGTTACTATATAACCATTACAAAAGTATTTAAAATAGAAAAATTAAAAAGTAAATCCAAATAATTTTAAAAGTTCCTAATGTGGAAATCATTTAGATGTGTCATAGCCATATGTTTGACTAAGTTTTATTTCATGACTACATCATTTCTACAAATTTAACATAATCCTTTTGTGGTTTTGTGTGTAGGAATTATTTCTAAACTTATGAAATTATATATCAAATTATTAGAAACTATTTGTTTTTCCTTTCTAGCCAGTGTATTCAAAGTACCACACAGGAATTATGTTAATATTTTAGCTATTTCAATAAGAGATGTAAAGTTAATGAATTAATTGACTTTGATGTGTATAAATTGAAAGCTATGAATGAATACACTAAAATTTTTTTCGCCCATTTGTTATAACCAAATATCCTTCAAATAATGTTATACAATGTTTGAAGAAATTGCAAGTTTATAATTTATAGGTATGGGAAAAGTCTCTTAAGATTTACTTTAAATACACCTTTTGCATTTATGAGACTAATGTGGGATGTTCAAGATTCACATCGATATTGATATGTACACATACATATACCAACATTTTTTGCTTCTTTCTGAACATTTTCTATTTGTTAAAATGCTAGCAATTTATACATATTTCACAGTCAATGAATGTTTTTGTGTTTGTGTGTGTGTGTTTGTGTGTGTGTGTGTTCTGTGGCCTTTTGGATATAAATGTCATAGTGTCTTGTAATCTTTTTCAGAGGGGCTTCTGAACAATGCCAGGGATACAAGTGTCATGGATACTCTACCACTGAATGGTAACCATGGCAACAGTTACAGCATTGCCAGCGGCGAATACCTGAGCAACTGTGTGCAAATAATAGACCGTGGCTATACCCACAACGAGACCGCCCTAGAGAAAAAGATTCTGAAGGAACTCACTTCCAACTATATCCCTTCTTACCTGAACAACCACGAGCGCTCCAGCGAACACAACCGGAATCTGATGAATAAGCTGGTGAATAATCTCGGCAGTGGAAGTGAAGATGACGCCATTGTCCTGGACGATGCCACCTCCTTCAACCACGAAGAGAGTCTGGGCCTGGAACTCATTCATGAAGAATCCGATGCTCCTCTGCTGCCCCCACGCGTGTACTCCACAGAGAACCACCAGCTGCACCACTCCACCAGAAGGAGGATCCCCCAAGACCACAGTGAGAGTTTTTTCCCTCTGCTAACCAACGAGCACACGGAAGATCTGCAGTCACCCCACAGGGACTCTCTCTACACCAGCATGCCAGCCCTGGCTGCTGTGCCTGCCTCAGAGGGTGTGACCACCAGCACCCAGACCGAAACCCCCGCGGCCAAATGTGGTGATGCCGAAGATGTTTACTACAAAAGCATGCCAAACCTAGGCTCCAGAAACCACGTCCATCAGCTGCACACCTACTACCAGCTAGGGCGAGGCAGCAGTGATGGATTCATAGTTCCTCCCAACAAGGATGGAACCTCTCCCGAGGGAAGTTCAAAAGGACCTGCTCATCTGGTCACTAGTCTATAGAAGACGACACGGAAATGGAACCCCACAGAACTGCTAACACCACCTTGGACTGTGCTGCCATGAATAGAAGCAGTGGTGACTGTGTGTACTCCTGAATCTTTATGCTGTTCTCGAAAGACAAACACGAACTCTCTGACTTCTTTTTCTTTTCTTTCTTTCTTTCTTCTTCTTCTTCTTTTTTTTTTAAACTGAGATTTTTAGCCAGTCCAGGGGAGAAAGGTTAACTGTGAAAGAAAAAAAAAAAACGTCCTCTGGGCCCTCCCCTTCCTTGTCCTTTCCCTTCAGATGGAGACTTCATTATGTTAATGAAGGAGATATGAAGAAACAGCGCTTAGTGTGGCCTTGTTGAATTCTGTTGTGTTTAACATCTCTGATGCTCTGATACTATCATGACAAGGACCTGAATCTTCCTTCCCTTTTCTTCTTTCTTTCTTTTTTTTGTTATTGTTGTTGTTTTTGTGAAGGCCAGAACAGTTGTTTGCGATGAGTAACAATACTGCGTCTAGATGGGAGTGCTGCACCAGCCTACGAGCAAAACTGTATCATGTAGTCGTTTATGATCACTCACCAACCTACATTCGCCACAGCAAGAAGGGCAGTGGCAAAGAAAAAACAAAGCAACACAATTAATCAGATGGAGGGGAATTCTAGAATTATATGCTAAGTGCATATTTTATGATTTGCTGTATTAACGGATGATAAAACTAATGGCAGAAAATTGAGCAATTTCTATGTAATGTACAGATACTAGCATTGCACATATAGTCTGCTTTTCGTTCCTCCAGAATTTCAGTCCTGTTACTGTAGTGGAAAAAAAAATTAGGAATTTTCTTTTTCTTTTGTGCTAGTCTTGCAAGTTTGTCTACCAGTAAAAGAGCAACGCTTTCTTCTTTTACTTCTTTCTTTCCTGCATTTTCTTTTACCTTTCTTCCCTTTTTTTTCTTTTAAAATTTCACCTGGCAAAAATAAATAAATAAATAAATAAATGAAACTATCACTTTATAAGAATCATTTTCTAGTAATGCAAACAAATTATTTTTTACAAAAAATAAAATAAAAATAAATAAAATTAGACTTCCTTCCCTCACTATATATCTTTATCCAGCAGGAATATTTCCAACACCATTTTTGTTTTTGTTTGCAAATTAGGACAGGATAGATTTTTTTTAGTGTTTTCTGGTACAGCTGTTGTAATGCAAAGCGTATTTGGCAAGCAATTCATCACTAAGACAGTAGCTATGATTCTAGAAGCCAAGAGGTGTCATTAGAACTGGAGGGATTTCTGCATGTGAAAAGCGGTATTCCATAGACATTAAATGTGGAATTCTGGGTTAAATCCCCAAGTGGGCACCTGCACTACCAATTTTTAGAGGAAATTCACTCCCTCATAATAAGAATTGAAAGGTCAAATAATTTTGCAGTGTTTTTTTTTTTTAAGTCTTCTGTTTATCAACAAGAAAACTTATTTATTTGACAGGATTTTAAGTAATGTAGGAATACAAAAGGTAAATTAGCAGCACATTTTTTTTAAATTTATGATCCATTTTGTATGGTCTCAAAGTTGGATGACCTCATTACTAATATTTGTTGTAAAAGTGAAACTTGTTTGCCAACCAATAAACAACTGATTGAGATTTAGATTATATTGTATGGATGTATGTACTATATTATTAATTACTATTCTCATTTTTCTCGCCTTTCCTTTTGTTTTCAAAATATAAAATTGGTTAATCTTCTGTGCACTAAGTGAACCAGGCAAAAGAAATCAATCTAATTCCATGCATAACCTAAGCACAAAATGATACAGTTTTTGCAGAGTTTATGTTGCTGAAACAAGATGGAAACCTTACTCAGATCTAGGTTTACCAACAGGTTACAGTGGTTTATTTGTAAACCAGCTGAAGTCATCATGTTTCTTTTAAAAGCCACATTCAATCACAGATTTAATTATACAATTGGAAGGGAGACGTCAAATGTTCTTCCCCTTTGGTAAGCTTTGTTTTGATGAAGGCAGAAATGTAAACTCACTCAACTGGCTAAATTTGACAAGTACAACAAGGGGAATATCTGTTGTATATAAACAGTGGAAGACAGTTTCTGTTCTGACTTTTCTTGCATACAAGGAGTTAAAAATAAGGCTTAGATCTCCAGTTACCCTTTGCCAGCTGTACTCAAGCATTGAGTTCTACTTGGGGAAAAGCTAAAAATGAACTTGCCAATACACAATTCCTCTTGTAGTATAGCTTAGGGTTTTTATTTTTCAAAATTCGCTACACCACCTATAAATGCATACCTTAAATTATAGATGAGAAAGAATCATTTAGGAAATGGTCAGTGATGCATAGACAGTTTTAAAATGGTATTACAAAATAAAGTTGTTCAGGGCCAGAGTACACATGAAACTTTATAGCATCTCCAAATATTTTGTGAATCCTGCTTAGTCAAATACTATAAATATCTGCAAATCTATTTATTTATTTTTTTAAGTTGGGGAACAACAATGATTAGCAGTAGTTTTCCTTATGGAGCCACATTGTGGAGATCACAGCATTTAAAGGTGTTTATCCCACCAGAAACAGAGAATCTATTTGGCAAAAAAAAAAAAAAAATACTTTTTAATTGTTGTAGGCAAGTCCAAAAAAAACACAGGCTGTCTGCATCATGTCTTGATATGTAGTGATCTGTATGAAAGCAACTCAGTCCATAAGAAACTATTTCATGAACATTGGAGGAAACTACCTCAATTCAGCTTGTCTGATTTTTCTGACTTTGCTACCTCCCTGCTTGTGATCTTTTGTGTTTCACCATAGGGAAATAGGAAGCAGGTAGCCTCCCCAACTCTCCATAGGCCAACATGAAAAAAGAGCACTTGAATAAGCTGGTACAGAAGCCCATCCAGAACTATTACTTACAACCAAGTTTTTGCATTAGGAAAAGAGGTGATTATGATGACATCTCATACATCAGTACTGGTGTGATTTCTGAAAGAACTAAGATCCCAAAGACTTTTCACAGTGAGAGGATTCCTCCAAATTTGATGATGATGATAACAAAACAGTAAAGAAAGTAGTTAATCCTGCATAGAAATTTATGTATAACTTACATATTGCCGCTTCATCCTGTTTACACTAGTGAGAGTTGAATTCCTGGAACTTGAATCTTTTTGTCTACATGCCTTTTTATGCCAAACTATGAATGCACTGATTTTTTCTGTCTAGCACCTGTGGTTAACCCCAATTTTTACGTTATCCTTTATGACCTATTAATCTACATTATTTTTTGCTTTCATCTGACTTTTTATTCAATATACTTCTATCACATAGACATAATGTACAGACATCACAGACTTAGTCTTCTAGACATGTTATGTTGAAGCAAACCGATCATTACTCTCTGATAGTATAATATTTTTATAATGTTCTACATTTTGACATTTTTCTTTTTTCAATTTAGGTTATATGTCTTTTTAAAAATCAGAATAGTAGGTAATGAATTGCATGTTTAACTGATTCTGAAAAAAACTGATGGATTGTTGTACAATGTATATGCCTAATTGATAATATTTTTTTGAGAAACCCAAATTTTAGGAAAGAGAAAAAGGCTAGATTTAAGCCAAAATAATTAGGAACATCTAGTGAATCAAAAGCAGGCAACAGAAATACCATTAAGTTCCTATAAAAAAATAGTGTGTCTAAATAGAAAGATGGTTCATAATCGGGGCTTTTTAAAAGACCACCATTATTTAAAAATACACTGACATTCAAGTCATTTAGGTTTTTGATTTTATAGTAAGGAAAAAAGTGTATAAGAGAATTGCATATATAAAGAATATGTTAACTTTAAGCACTATCAAGCTTTTTTTTTAACTACATATACATTCAAACCCACTGAGACTGACCTCTACTTTATTGTGTAGACAAAAATAAGAAAGAAAAATAAGGAAAAAAATGAACTCTGAACTAAACTGTAGCCCTTATTAATGAAAATACTTAGGCTTTTGAATTTATCTAATCATAATGCACCAATGTTCGATTCCTTGCTATTATCTTGTAAACAAAACAAAACAACAACAACAACAAAAATCAATTAAATAATATACTGTTTAACTCCAAGTACACATCACTTAAAGTTTAGACAATAGGGGAAACCCTAAAACTCCAATCTGGCTTTGAGTGAATGAGAAGATAATGGTCTGTTTTTCTTTCTTCGGTAACAAAACCAGTAATACGTAATACTATGTATAAACTTCACACTATATTCTAGACTAAGGTATTAAGATTAATCAGTTCTCTTTCAGTAACTCATAATTACAACTCATCATATACATAATTACTATGAAGTCCTAATAATACTTTCTACTTTACATTTCTTCACATTCAAATGTTGGGAAGGTGGAGCCATAAAAGCAAATGGCAGCATTGCAAAATAGCTTATAAAGGCATTTTTGTGCAAATGAATTTTGCCTAAGAACTTATTTGAGCTCATGAAATCATTTCAGGAGATTTCAACAGTAGATTACATTTTGTAATCAGCAAACATCTGTTATAACCCATTTCAAAAAATACTGTTAGACATCTAAATCTTCATTTGTAGTCTGTTCTATGGTTAAATCACAAGAGAAACTTTTCCAATTTGATAATTTACCTTGATTATTTCTCCCTTGCTTTAAAAAGGAAACCTGTATTCCTATTTACAAACTGATTATATTGTTTTGAAAGCTTCAATGGCAATAGATTCTTTCCAATCATTATAAAACTTTGAATTTTTCCCCAATAAAACAAGTAGTTTGGCATTTTCTCATTTGAAATATTTAATTGCTATCCTTTTTTAAAAAGTAAAAGGTCAGCATTTCAGCATCTAGAACTTTTATTATTCAAATATCTTGAGTTCAAATATGCCTTGATATTGCTCTCTCAATAGCTCTCAACCACTTTTTTTCCCTCACTTGATAATTTTCATTTTATTAAATGAAAGGTAGAAGCTTCTGCCCAAAGGTTAAAAGCAAACTATGATTTTGTGTAGTCAAGGAAGACTCTACATAAACCACCATCTATTGTGATGAGGAAATCTTTTCAACTACAGGCTCAACAGAAGAAGAACAGAAACAACTAGTTGGACATTGATGGCGAAATAACCAAACCTCAATTTAAGTAGCTAATTCTTTGTGTGTGGGGGGGGGACCCTGGGGGCAGATGAAATCATTTATAATGATTAAAATACTGTAGCAAATGCTACAGGTTTGTTCAGAAAATAAAATTTGACTTTTCAATGAGATCATTTTATCCTACTGATTCTACAAGAATTACTAAGTACCTTTTGCATTCTTTAGACAGTTCTCATGTAGGTAGTCCTGTCATAAGGAAATACCCATATTTTATAAATATTTCTAAAGTGTTGCCTCACTTTTATTTGCTAATCACCTAACTCAAGCACCAACACTCATAATGCACTTTGTGGCTTTGTATCTTTAAAAATGTTAGTCTGTATAATAAGCCTTAAGTTAATATGGTATTGGAAATAGGAACATTGTGCAAATAGAAGCAAACAATGTTCATATAAGAGGATAACTCATATATGAATATTATATTGAGACTGAACAAATAACTACATTGCTGAAAATATTACTCTCATATTTTCTCTCTTTAACTATTGTACTAAATTCATGAAATCTTGCAGACAGTTGTACACGTGATAATTTATCAAAGTATTCCATTGCCTAAATGCAGCTTTAAGTAGTCCCAGTGCTGTTCGTCATTCTAGAATATTAAGGGAAGAGATTGAAAAAAAAGAAAAAGAAAGAGAAAAATGCTAATTTAAACACTGCCATTCAGACTGCATATTTTTCAGAGGAGAATGTTATACCCTTTGAATCCAAGGTAGAACTTTCTAGAAATTTCGCCGCAAATCAGAGTAATTTACATTTAAATTTGTTAAGTTTGTATCAAATTGTGCCAAGAATGCAAAAATTCACACTACAATCCACACTGAATATAATCTTTTAAACATTCTTCTGACTTTTCTGAAGGTTAAAATAGACAAAATGATTCTAACACTAAAATGAAATGTGTTTATTGACTTCAAAAGTGTGTGACAAAAGGGATATATCAATAACCCTTCATTAGTACATAGTCTTTGGGATTTGGAACTCACATCAGAGTGGCCAGGACAATATCCCTTAGATAAACATCTTCCTGGTTTTCCAGAATCTTGTTTTTCATGACTTGAATTTGAATTTTTTTTATGTTTGGAATGACATTTTGAGTCAAGAAAAATTGAAGTAAAAACCATTTAAGGTAGAGAAGATTTTCTTAATCTGCTTGAGTAATTAAAGGTATGTTGTGAAAAAGATGTAATCAGAATGTTTTCATTTATAAATTAAGACTCAAATGTTTGCACATCTGACAATGACCTTTGCCTATGAGCTACAAAATGAAGATTTGTAGAGTTAGGTAGATTTCCCTTCATTTGGCTTCTGTAAATGCATTGGAAATAGATGGGTAAACTGCAAGTTTTTCATATCATATCTCACACCCCACGTTCCAGCATTAAATCTAATTCAAGATGTATCTTTTAAAACTACAATACTTTATTTACAAAACTAACAACTAATTGAGCTATTCCTCTCTGATAAGAAAAA